ACATCATGGCAAGGCCCCTACTTGAGGGCTCAATCCTCACATTCCATCCCCCTTAGCTTCGAAAGTCCGCTGAGATGCTTACTTTGCAGGTGCCTCCTCTTTCAGTAGCCTCTCATATTCTGCCACCACATGAGGAGCTGTCTCAATCAGTTCCTCCCTGGTAAACCACCGATCTTCTTTCGGATCCGTATGATGCCTGAATCTGACGCGGTACTCTCTCTTGGGTTTAGGAGGTCTTCCTCGACCCAGCGGCTTCGGAACAGGCATATCCCTGTGATCCACAATATCGTCAATGTCGACTTGTCCATCCATGGTTGGGGGCAGCATCGATCTCCTGGAAGGGAATTGATCAGTCTCAGCGAAAGGTGTAAGCTTTGAGGCATGAAAGACTGGGTGAGTGCGTAGGTGTACAGGGACACGAATGACGTACGTAGGACCATCCATTTCATCTCCCACTACATCCAAGACTTCCCAGGGACCAAAGTACTGAGGCATTAGTTTGCGAGAGATTCCGAACTCCTGTCCTAACTCACTAGCCTTGACCCAGACTCGTTCCCCTACCTGAAATGTGGACTGTCTACGATGTTGATTCTCATAAGCAATCATTGCTTGCTGAGCTTTCTTCATATGCTCGACAGCCTCTTGCAGCAACTTCTCATATTGCACACCATACTCTAGTGTGCCTGGAGTTGCAGCAGGTCGGTTTTCAGGTAGGAGGAAGTCTAGTGCTGATCTAGGCTTCCATCCCAAGTGTAGCTGGTTAGGACTAACGCCGGTACTGCTGTGGACAACATTGTTGTACAGGTTGGCGATGAGAGGCAACTGCTCATCCCAGTCATCCTGGCTGGGCTTGATGTAATGCCTCAGCAAGTGCTGTACAACTCTGTTCATTTGCTCGGCCTGTCTGTTTGCTTCGGGGTGATTCCCTGAAGTCATTTCAAGTTGACTGCCCATCTGTTCTGCAGTCTTCTTCCACAGCTCACTTGTGAATCAGACATCTCGGTCACTAACGATTGACTTTGGTAAACCAAAGTCACGCACCCAGTTGTCCTTGAACAACTTGATGACATAGTCAGTTCTTGTGGTCTCTGGCATGGCCACTAGCCTAGCGTACTTGGTGAATCGATCGATGATGACGAAAATGTGCCTCTTGCCACTCTTACTAGTCACCAGGGTGTCCATGAAATCCATGGAAACACTCTGTCCTGGACCAGCAGGAATAGGCAAAAGCTTCAACAACCCAAGCGGTGCTTGAGTTCGCGGCTTGTCCCGCTGACAGACCTGAAAGGTCTCTACTTACTTCTTTGCGTCATCAAACATTCCTGGCCACCAAAATCGCTGTATTAGGTTAGCACTCGTCTTTTTGTAGCCAAAGTGTCCCGTTGTGTCATGGCATTCTCCTAAAAACAAACTACGCAAAGGTTTACTAGATGGAACTACTAATCTCCTTACGTCGGCCTTATCAAGATAGAGAAGTCCGTCCACCATCACAAACTCACTTTCTGTGGCCTTGTCTTTTGCCTGAAGTTTGCGAATGATGTCCATCGTGACAGGGTCTTCCAGATAGGCTCCCACCAATGATTGAGTTACTTCTTCCGAAACTAGCGCACCTAGATAGTCTGCTCTACGTGATAACGCATCAGCAACCTTGTTATACTCTCCCTCCAGATACTCGAGTTTGAAGTCATATTGGTCTATGACCTCAATCCATCGCTTGAGTGTGTCAGATAGAGCCGGTTGAGTCTTGATCCATTTGAGGGTCTGATGATCAGTCCTCAAGTAGAAGAACCTTCCCAATAGGAAGTGCCTCCAATGGACAAGTGTTTTGTATAGCGCGTAGAGTTCCCTTTCGTAGGTGGACTTTGCCAACTTCTTCGATGGCATCTTCTTGCTCCTGTACTCAATCGGTCTCAACTTTTTCCCATCCTGCTGAGCCAGCACTGCGCCAATACCGTATTGGCTTGCGTCAGTGGTCACTATGAATGGCTTCTGAGGATCGGGAACCATGAGGACCTCATGATTCATGAGTGCATGCTTCAATCTCTTGAAAGCACCCTCGCACTCATCACTCCAGTCCCACGGTGTGTCAAGTTGAGTTAGATCAGTCAAAGGAGAGGCGACTGTAGAATAGTTCTTAACGAAGTTCCTATAGTAGCCGCACATTCCTTAGAATGATCTGACCTCAGTGACTGTCTGAGGTCGTGGCCAGTCTCGAATACTAGCCACCTTCGCATCTTCCGGCCTAATCCCCTCCACGGATACTTCATGACCCAAGTATAGTATCTTAGTGCGGCCAAACTCGCACTTCTCTAAGTTGACCTTATACTTGTGCTGTCGCAGGAGTGAGAGTACCTTCTCAACATGTTGTGCGTGCTCCTCGGCAGACTTACTAAAGATCAGAATGTCGTCTAAGTAGACCACGACAAACTTATCTAAATGGTCATGGAAGATCCGATTCATAGCGTGCTGGAATGTTCCCGGCGCGTTACAAAGACCAAAAGGCATCACTACAAACTCATACAGACCATAACGAGTCTGAAAAGCTGTCTTGTGTTGGTCCTCTGGCCTTATAGCGATCTGGTGATAGCCGGATTTCAAGTCTATTTTGCTATAGTACTTGCATCCCTGCACCCTATCCAATTGGTCGTCTATGCGAGGTAGAGGCTCTGCGTTCTTCACAGTGATGGCATTGAGGCCTCTATAGTCAATGCACATCCTCAAAGTACCCCCCTTCTTCGGTACGAATAGAACGGGTGATCCGTAAGGGGAAGTACTAGGCCGAATCCATCCCTTCTCTGTCAGCCCCTTAAGTTGTCGCCGAAGTTCACCTAACTCGGCGGGGGTCATCCTATAGATCCTTCCCTTTGGGGTCTTACTCCCTGGAATGATTTCTAGAGCGTGGATGACTTCCCTTTCAACAACTTCTGTGGGCTCCTCGAACAGATCAGGGAACTTAGCAACGACGCGTTCTATCTCTGGGGGTGTTTTAACGGCCTCCCCTTTCTCAGAGACATATACAAGGTACATACCCTCCTCTTCGTTTTGCTTGTAATAATTGTAGAACGCTGATGCGCACAAGCAGCCATAGGTATCTTTAATACTACTGACCTTGAACTTGGTCAATCTGACAGTTCGGCCATCGGGCAACTTATGCTTGAGCACCTTCTTATCCCAGTCGAACTGGGGCTTAGCAACTTCGAGGTAGTACATGCCTAACAACATGTCAAATGGTAAGTCGTCGCTAACCAAGAACGAGATCTTATGGTTAAGTTCGCCTCCTCCATAGGAAAAGGTACAGACTACGTCCTTGATATAGTCTGTTACAATCATGCGCTCTTTGTTGGCCAAAGTAGATGCTACTGGTCTACTAAGGTGCCATACCCGGTCCTGTAGGTGCAGCCTTTCCAAACAACCGCGACTTATGTAATTTCGCGTGGATCCGATGTCTATGAAAGCACCACATTTGCGGCCTCCTACATCCACTTCCACCACGAAATGTTCCCCTCTAGGACCTTTCTTTAGCGCCACCCAAGACTTGCGAGGGTCCTTGTTTGACCACTCACCTTCTAAGTTTTCTACGGCTTCAGACACATCCCACGTACAGAGCATAGTTTGGTCTAGATGTGTCTGCGGGGTGACTAAGGAGTCATTAACTTCAGCCTTGTCATGAAGTGGGGAGGGTATCAAGCCCACATCATCTTGAGTAGAAGCCGCTAAAACTTCCACTGACCTCACGCGTTTCCCAAGCTTGAAGCCTGGGAATAAGATGCCCCCATCTTTGGAGGTATCTTTTGCGTAACCTTTGCGTTTTGACACTTGTATTGTGAGTGTCCGTATTCCCCGCAATTGATACAAGCGCCACGCACTCGGCGGTCACGCCACACGTCTTGGTCAAGACCTGCCTTCACCCATTCAGCCTGCTTGGTCTGATTGAAGGCGGCCTTTCCTTGACTCCTAGGTTGGTCCTTCCCTCGGCCACCTGCCTTAGTCTTGACTACCGCGGCGAGAGTGCTACCCTCAACTACCTCCTCGCCGTCAAACTCTGTATAGTCCATCAGGTCCGTGAGCTCGTCGATCTCAGTTTGGGTTCCATCGGACTCCACCATCATCAACTTAGCCCCCTTCTTTTTCCACTCCTGAGGACTCTTCTTCTTCTTCGCGTCAGTCTGGGAGGTTGGTTGAGCATTGCCTAGCGTGGCCTCCAAATCTAAGGCTTTCCTAGACAGTGTCTCAAACGAATGGTACTCAGTGCGTGCCTCACTAGCCAGTAAGTTCCTGATGTTCTCTGGGAGACATCTGACAAATGTAGTTAACAGGAACTGGTCGCTGTAGTTAATGCCTGGGACGAGGATCAGGTTCTCAACGGTAGTCGTAAGCTCTCTAACCGACTTGAACTTTCGTTGGTCTAGCTTGTTAATCACATCAGTGGCCTTTTGTGCCTCCTGTGGATTATGCCATCGAGCTTCTACCATCTCCATGAACTGATCTAGCGTAAGGGACTTAGCCCAGTCCGCCATGCGTCGCCCATACCCGGCCTTTATAACTACACCATCTAGCCATTCGGTTGCCTTACCCTCAAGGTAGGATGCAGCAGTAGCCACTTCGTCCTCCAGCAAGGTTCTCTTGGCCTTTACCCAAACCGGAACTGATCTCAACCAAGTGTTGAGCTCTTCGTCCTTTCTCTCGCCTGAGAAGGCAAGGGGCGGTTTCATTGGGGTCTCAGGATACCATTGACCCTGCGGCTGTCCCTGGTGAGGAACAGGTTGTTGCGGTGATGTAGCAATCACCGCTGGATCCGAAGAAGAAAATGCAACAGTTTGTGCGGCTGCTGCAGACGTACCACTTGGTTGTGTACCAGCTTGTACTGGAAAAGGGCCTGACATCGTCGTTAACGGCAACGGTGATTGTGCTGGTGGCCTAAATCCTGGCCTTGTCAAAACATCCAGGATCTGGTCCAAAGTATTCTGCATGAAGTCCAACCTGTTGTCCACGTGCGCATGCAGTGACAGCATGTTGTTCCTCAACACTTTCATGGGCTCATTCATTCCAGAGTCGTCCAAGCCCTCTAACTCAGCCTTGTCAGCCTCTAATGTATCAAGCCTGGCTGTTCTATTTTTGATTTCCTTTTCTCTGTCGGTAGCCTGTTTCAGTTCCCTCTCTAATCTTTCACGGGTCCTTTCGACCTGTTGGAGCTCCCAGAGCTCCCTTTCGCGAGGAGTCAACGGGCTGAACTGCGAGCCCGCCATTTGATTAGTAGACTGTCGAGAACCCGATGAACTGGAAGTGCCCGTGGAACTTGTTGGCATTCCCAACAAAGTCCCATACAAAGCCGCAGAGGATGCTGCTGAGCTAGTCATGGCTGCTGCCCTAGCTGCTGCGGCAGCCTGTTCCCTAGCTGCGGCGTTTGCTGTTGCTCTAGCGGCTGCTAGTGCACGGGCTCTACGTTCTGCACGAATACGTCTTTCGTCTTCCGGTTGTAGGGCTTGAAACACGTGCGGGATCCTACGTGACCTTGCACGTGTTAGTCTAGCATCGTCAACTCTCTCCTCATCGACGTCTGACCCGTTCATGAATTAGGCAAACATTGGCTGCACTAGAACCCCCTAGTGGAGTCCTGCCGCAGCATGTGTCTGACCGGCACCTAGTTTTCTAAAAATAGTTGTGTCCGGCAGGTCCCCTACTGTACCGATCAAGTGGCATGTCTACAACATTCACACAGATTGTCTACATAGTCTAGATGTACTCTGATTGGTTTACTTACAGCCAGCATTGGGGAGAACTGGATATGGTAGCATACCACAGTCCTAATCTAATCTGTCTGTGAGGTGTTAGCAGTCTGTCCACCAACTAATCAAGAATACAAAATGACTATGTAGCAAATGTATGATTGATGGGTATGGTTGTGTATTCAAATGAGCATCAACTGGAACCTACCCTTCCCCTCAATCCAACATACCGGACAACATCAATGAGCAAGCCGTGTCTTCGTGTGTATTTCGGCCCACCCCTGTGCCCAAGTCGTTACCGAGCAAGCCATCCCAACCACTCTTATTTACCCTCGTACGGCGACGAGCCTTCCTGTTCATGTGATCTGGCTGATCAGGAGGAATTTATAAAGCGCCCCCATCTCTTCAGGAATTCTTTAACGTCGCAGTCAGGACGATGATCACAGCCAGAATCACAATGAACTCCCAACCAGAAATGTTTATAGACGGTCTGGTAAGCGTCTGTCATGGGCTGGCACACCCGGCAGGACTTCTATTTAGCGCAGCAAGTGCCAA